TCCTCCTCCACCTCCTCCTCCTCCACGCCACACTTTCTGTAAAAACTCTGACTTACGGTGCCGTTCACCCTGGATGTAACTGGGACCCTGTGTACATAGTTTTGCTCCACCACATGTACCACATGGGGTGTGAACGACAAAGAATCTCTGACTCTGACCCTCACACACACGTGCACTCTGAAACGCACGCTTCCTGCCGTGTCTTTGGGTGCAGCGTGCACCGCAACCTGCTGCAGACGAAGGCAGATAATGAAACTTGCTGTTCAGTTCTTTGCACAAGTGCAGCGTGTAAAAAGTATTTCCTACTATACTGTATATATACTACAGTATATATATAATACCTACTATATTTCCTGCTATACTGCAATACTGTATACTAGGAAAGTATTACCCCCATTTTGCACATTACTTGTTTTCCCACACTTAAAGACAAAGATAACCTGGATTAACACAAAATGCAGTTTTAAAAACGACGGTTTTCTTGATTAACCTCCTGCTGCCCCCGGGTCCAAATGATTCCAGGGGCGTTGGTTTTAAAACGGGCTTGACCCAATGGCAGCAGGAGGGTCCATGCAGGACTCTATTAGAGCTTAAGGTTTGGGTCTTACTGGGCAAGTTGGCAAACGTCATTCAGTATCCTGAACGTCTCACAGCAGAGTCTTCATCGTCCTCATACGAGTCCCAGAGGCACGCCGAGTTCTGAACGTATCTAAAAATACGTGCAACCCAAGTCGTCGTACGCTTCTCCAACCCGACTCGAGAGCTCTACAGATGTTTCCACTCCTGCACAGAGGAGCTCTCCAACATCCGAGCCCAGAGTTCAGTAACAACAAGCGCACTGACGACGAGTAAAACAACCCGAGGCAGACGACGTGTTCGGTGTGTGCAAGGGGCACAGAATGAGTGCCGTGGATTCTCCTTCAGGTTTCTTCTGGTGTCGTGCAGAACCCACGGTTCCCTTAATTACAGCACGTCGACCCAGACCATCACACTAACGCCACCGTGTGTGACTGTAACTATGGCGGTGTTTCTTAGTTTGGATGCAACAGGACACGCACCTTTAAAAAAAGTTCCACTTCCGTCCCGTCAGTCCACAGAATATTTCCAGCAAGATGTTTTTTGGCGAATGTGAAACGGGTCTTTGTGTTGGCAGTTTTGGTTTTCCATGGAGGAAATGTCTCTTTCCTGTTCCTGAGCCCTGAACTCTGACCCTACCTGAGGCAGGTGAGGCCTGCAGAGCTGGTTCTGGGGCTGTTCAAAGTGGCTGCTCCTGGGAACGTTCACCACTGATCCGTGGTTTCTCCATTCGTGGATGATGATGGCTCGATTTACGCAGTTTCTTGACTTTACAGAGCAATTTAAAAAACAATAATAATAATTAGAAAACGTGCATTTTGTGTTCACTTAAGTTATCTTGGTTAGATATTAATATTGGCCTGTCTGAAACATTTAAGTGACAGACACGTGCAGGTGCGAGTTGCTTTTCACAGTTTTTGTTCGGTTGCAACAAAAACAGGCATTTTTAAAGTGCATAATACAGTTCTTTCCGTGATTTCGTGTTCTGCTGCTGCACAGAAGTCAGAACAGGATGTGGTTGAATGTGTGAGTAAACGAGGGAGTTTGTGCAATATGTAAAAAGGCCCCACAGCTGTCTCGATGGTTTCCTGGGTGAACAACAACAGCTAACATGCAGCTGATCCGTGTCGCTGAGCAGCCATTAGACACAACATTTACTACAAGCACTTTGTAACAATATGGAACAGTGGTGTCGTGAAGAATGATCAGACAGAACATCGGTCTGACTCCTGCAGGACAGGAGGTGGTGATTCTGCTCCGACAGGTTCAGCCAGCAGACTGTGAACTGTCCGAACCACAGTTTGAACCCACAGAAGGAGAAACAAACTGTGCTGACCCAAAAATATAAAAACTAAACTAGAACATCAGCTGCATATAGACTCTAAATCCTGGCTGATATCTCGGATTGATTTAAAATCTTGTGGTTGGTGTGACTACCTACAAAGTGGTAGCTATTAAATCTTTCAGAGCTGTGATGTAAAGAATTATTTAAAAACTAGAGCCCCGACCGATATGGGAGTGTTGTCTATCGCCGATATTGGGATGGGAGTGTTGTGGAATGTCAATAACTGATATAATGGCTGAAATTTTTTAGCTTTATCCATCCCCAAGAATCTAAGAAAACAGCGAGTGGGTCTTGTTTATTTAGCGCAGCTGTTAGCAACCATGAAGCTAAGCTAATCAGATCCACGCTTGTACGTATACAAGTGGCGCACTGGTCATAAAAACAGTCTTCGTAACGTGCGTTCACATTTTCTATCCTTCACTATTCACCATAACGTTATCAAGTGTTACATAAATGTAAATTAAGCAAACACCCTTCCATGTTCATTGTTTAAACAGTCAGTCACGTACGGTGAAGGTCTAATTACTATCGACAGCAGCGGTGTTTATTTTTTTAGTAGAAAAGTAAAAAGTTCAGACAAACTATGCATTTTATTGACGACGACAAAGAAAACGTTACTGACACTGATATATTTTACCTTTTATGTTAGATTTTTTGTTCTGGATAAAGTTTTCCAAGGAATAGCCTATGCTAGGTTATCTAAACGTTAGCTTGCTAACTTGAGAGGCACGTAGCTAATGACAAGCGGGTTGGAGGATTGAAGATAATTTTTTTAACAGATCAGTTAAAATAAATTTACCATGCTCTGTTCAGCAAAATACTCTACTTAGTATTGTTCTCTGCTTCGTCTGTGCTGAAAGTGAAACTTAAGTGAACGGCCATGACTTGAAAGTAGTCTTCATGCGCCCTCTGCTGGATACATTTTACAATTACAGCTGGTTCCAGCATTTTAGGGGTGAAAAATAGAAATGCTTATATCGGCGCATACGTAATGGGACATTTTTCGCTGATACCAATAGGTCCTCAAATGCATATATCGGCCTAAATTATCAGCCCTACCGATATATTGATCAGGCTTTAGTAAAAACTGAACTATATTTTATATTCCATAAGTTGATTTTATGTTAATTCCAAGAATCTGGACATCTTGTTCCTGAGTGATGGTAGGATGGAGCAGGAGATAAGATTGGGGCCTCATCCTGAGTAATAAGGGTGCTGCTTTGGTCAGTCATAGTGAACAAAAAGAGTTGAGTCGAAAGGCAAAGCTCTGGATTTACTGGTCTATGTTCCAACCCTCACCTGTGGTCAGGAGATTTGGATCATGACAAATCCCAACGAACTGGAAAAAAAACATTAGCTGCTGTTACTAAAATAATTAAGTTCAAGTTTCTTTATCGTCATTCGCATCACATGTGGTACATGAGGTGGAATGAAACTGTATTCAAGGTCCCAGTTACACACCCAAAAAGCAAAAATATAAAGTATAAAAAGAAACGGTATAAAAACCACACGACTTTGGGTTTCCCCCCAAATACTCCCCTATTTCTCCTGGTTATTCTTTGTCACCAGGAAAAATAATATATATAGGGATCATTTTTCCCAACATGAAGCTTCAGACATAATTTCCAGACGTCTGTATATTTTAGTCCAAGCTCAAATAACGTCATGCTCAGCCTCGTGATGTTGTAGAATGAAGAAGCGGGAAAGTAAGGAAGGATGGATGTGTTGGAAACGTCTCTACTATTTAACTCAACATCTGTCCAATCAAATATACAATAACCATTTTTTGTGTTGGCTCATTTTAATTGGTTGTGGCGGCCATCTTGAATTGACTCCAAAAGTCACTTCCTTGAAATGCACAACCGATTATGTTCTGAATCTCTTCGGTGGTTCATGAGGCATGTTGCTAAAAAAAAAACACGGATGACGTTAAATCTAAACATAATGCTAAAGTTTTAAGCTAACATCTCGCCCAAAGAGCAGCGATTGGAGTATGTGTTTTGAATGACCCTCAGCTACTACCACCAAGCTTTAGCTCAGTATCTGTAAAACTAATTGAAGGATGGCCATTTTTGTCTTTTCTCAGGTCACTCGGCTGTGACGGCCATCTTGAACTGGGTTCAGTTGTAGACATAGATCAAATATTAATTTCCTAAAAGTCACATTAAAACTAATCTAGTGGCTGATGAGATATTTTGCTAACAGACAAAGTTGACTCGAAATATTTGCAATAAGTGTGATCTGTTAGCGCTCGGATTGTGTGCTGGGATCAGTCTCAGCTACTACCATCCCAAAGTTTAGCTCAGTATCTGTACAATTGGTAAAGTTGTACATTTTTGTGTTTTTAAGGTCAGTTGGTGGCGGCCATCTTAAATATAGCTGATGCCAAAAGTTGTGATGTATCCATCCATCCATCCATCCATCCACCTCACCATGTGTTTGTTCATTCAACATCCATCCATTTGTTCATCCATTCGTCTGTTATCCATCCATCCATCCATCCATCCATCCATCCATCCATCCATCCATCCATCCATCCACTCAACTGTCCATCCACCCATCTGTACATTCAACCAACCCCCACTCTCATCCATCTACCCATCTATCCATCCATCCACCTCACCACCCATCCATCCAACCAACCAACCAACCAACCCCATCCATCCATCTATCTATCCATCTAT